AATAGCACGTTCTATTCGGAGTAAAAATGACTTTTTGTGTCTCGCTTGTAATTTTTACTCATAATAAAACAATATACTATTGTATGGCTTTATTGTAGTAATATCCAGTAATATGCCACTTTTTATAAAGAAAAAAAAATATGTTAACTGTTTCTTAAACACACCCACAAATACACTAACACTCGTGCACATCCCCAGTAATATTGATAACATTACAAGGTTTTAGATACATAGGTTTAAATAGAACAAAATACGAGAAAATTAACCTTAAAATATTATTTTTCTCTTAAGCTTCAAAATACCACTTCCTAAATTAATAGAAGACCATTAAGAGTTCAGATAAAAAGTTAAAAGAAACGTTAAAACGTTGGTTTCGCTGAATACTATCTTTTCCACTTTTCTTTTTTACATTCGATAAATTATTTAGTTACTTGGATAGCTACCAAGAGTCTTGGCAGTTACAACTGCGACTACAAAGCGCCCCTGGAAATGGCAGTTGTTTTGTTTAAATTTTAGATTTATTGTTGCGGTCTCAAGATGCATGTCGTCGAGATTTGCGCTGCTTGGGAAAAAAAAAACTTTCCGTTACGGAGTAGTCAAGTAATTTACACTCAGAGAAAAATGTATTTTAGCTGAGTGTTATTTGATATATGGAGTTCTTCGGTTTTAAACAAGAATATTATTCATTATTAGGCTTAGTGTAAACTGTGAACTGGGATAAACTCAGATATATAGAGGGAAAATTGTAACTTTATTTCCGTGGTCTGTATTTGAATGCGTACGACACAGATATACGACCAGTTGACAGAAAGAGAGAGAAAAAAATATATATAAGCGGCATATACAGTGTTGCCGGTTCGTACGTGAAATAACATAATAAACAAAGATGTAATATATCTAAGCAATTGAATAATGCTCAATTCTGTTAGACTGTTGCTTGAAAACTTGGAATAAAATATCTGCAATCATTCTTACAAATAACAAAGAACTATACAGGGTGGTCCGAACTGTATTCCGGAAACTTCGGCAGCATATTCTGCAGATAAAAATATGTAAAAAAGTTCGTATAAATTTATGTCCTAAAATGCTTAGTTTCGGAGATACAGGGTGTAGAAATTTCATTTCTATTTTGATTTTTTCCAAATAATTTCTGAAGTAACATCGATATTTGGATGAAAATTGGTGTCTGATGAGAAATTTGATTTTGATGTCAATATGACTCCTATTTGTTGCCACCTACATGTTTTAACTGTTTAGAAGAGTAATAACTTTTCGTCCGTACCTGTATAAAAACTGAGTGAAAAATTATACACTTCCGTGACTTTTTACGTAAAAAATGTTGGTAAAAATCTCTACGAGCAAGCGTTCTTAAGATATCTAGAATGGAAATAGTCAATACATATCATTATTGACAAAAATAAACAAACACGTCGAGTAGATTATTAACTTAAATAATAAATTTGGGAAATTTTTATTTCTTTAAAGTAATCATAAATTTTTCTACGAAAAAATGATGATAAAACGGGTTTTGTCGAACTTTTGGTACAAAAACATTTCAAATTTATGTTTTCAGACTAATAACTATTTAGTCAACATGTTTAATTTATGTCAATGATGACAGGTATTAATAATTTCGATTCCAAATATCTCGTAGCGATTTTTTACCGAGAGCGGACATACATTTATACGAACGTTTTTACATATTTTTATATGCAGAATATGCTGCCGAAGTTTCCATAATACACTTTGGACCATCCTGTATATTGATTGGTTTGTTCAGATTACTTTAAAAATAGTGCTAGTAATCGTATTTTCAGGTATAGAGCTTCGTTCTAAAACTACACAGTGTCACGGGCTACACGTCATAAAACCAATAAAATTCGTAATAAAATCAATAGCTGTCAATTTTTGATTTAGTTATTAAACTAACAACTATTACTGATTGTTTTTGTAGTTTCATAACGTAGTTTTGAGACCGAGGCCTAATCCTGGAATTATATCTCTGGAGAAACCCAGCTTTATAGATCAGGTGTAACGATAGAGTAGTAAATACAAGTCAAAACGTGTCCTGAGAAATTTCAAGATTAAAGATATTATCAAAAAATAATTTACTAAAATAAATGATATTATTTATATACCAGACATTCAGTATTACACATGTTTTCATGTCACAAAATCTGAACCAAACTGCCTTAAGAAATTTAAAAATGTTAAAGCACTCAAAATTTACTGTAACATAATAAATATTATCAAATTTAAAAAATATTCACTAAACATAATTATTGGCCATAATTTTCAACGTAAATATCTTTTAGTGAAAGTGTGGGGTTACCTTTAGATTAGATTAAGTCCTATACAATTTACATTTAGCATTTTTTCCTGAAAATTTTGATTATGTATGATAATTAGCAATTTAACTAGATAATGCTTTTGTTCAATATTGTAGTTACTGTTTGAATTGCTTTGCTCATAGAAATGTTTATCATAGACTCACATTTTTTCTGTTAATTTTATCAAATCATTGTATATGAACAATATAAATAACTAGTATTTATTCCCAGTATTTCATAATCAAACTGAAGCCATACTGCTATACTAAAACATTTTTATTAATATTAATATAATAAAATTAGTATGAAAATTTAGATAAAAAATATGAAATATTTGTGACATTAATACAGTTATTTATTAATATATAAAGTTCGAATTGAAGTATTATTGCTGCTCCCGCTATGACGTTCTTTTTTATTTGATTGTGGAGTATAAATTTAACACTTATTTGATCTCATAATTTTAGTGTAATATATACCGGGTGTTGCATCGAAATCCCATGTAAATTTAAATGGGGTCAATTATTGGCTTCCCTAATTATTTTAGAGAATAATTCTATTTAGGTTTATTGAAGAGCACTAAAACCCACATTCAAAAGAATAACTTTAGATATTTTTGATTAGCCCGTTTACCTTATTAAGCACTAAATAGATAAATTTCTAAAGTTACAACTTCATTTGACAATTATCTTTTACCTTGAGGTGCCTATTAAGTAAAATTACGAGATACGAAGGAGAAATATCTTAAAAAAAGATTAATCTGTCTGTCTGTCTGTAAAACGGGCTGGATCAAGTATCCTTAAAGTTATTCTTTTGAATGTGGGTTTTTAGTGCTCTTCAATAAAACCTAAATAGAATTATTCTCAAAATAATTAGGGAAGCCACTAATTGACCCCATTAAAAATTTAGTGCTATTTCCTATGTCCCGTCCATGGCTGGGAAACTTAAATGGAAATTACAGTCTAATAAAAAAATAGTTTTCCCAAATATGCTAAAAATAAAAAAAAAAAAAAAAAAAAAAAATTAATTAAATGTAAAATGTCAATATCTGATTTCACAAAATTTGATTTTAACTGTCACCTAGAGATCGCTTTTGCTGTGGATTTTATTGGTTTGATTTCCTGTTTTTTTTTGTCGAATTATTGTAAAATTAAATTCCTCTCTCAGATTTTTGCCAGTATTCTGTTTTAGGGTCCCGATGACCTAAGTGAAATCACCATCACAGATCATCACCAACAACAATGGAATAACGGCCACAATCAACACCACCCGGCTGCCGGGCCGGCCATCACACAGGCAAGGAAGGGGCCCAATGGGGGAAGGTCTAGAAACAAGACGATCCAAGCAAATGGCTCCACAATGGCTGATCACGGTCTCCACAAACCCAGAAACGCAAGAATATTATTCGAAACCTGAAACCATTTCACCCACTTCTACAATGATGGCCGCTAGGGAAAATCAGGAAGTTTGGTACCAAATGGATGGCTGCCCGGAACATAGTACCCTGGCTGTTCAAGAATATTTAGACAATAGTCTTAACGGAAACGTTACTGACCTAAATCATACAGTAAAATAGCCAGCAAGGTCTCCTGAAATTTCGCCAAATGATTTCTTCCTCTGGGGCCATTTAAAACAGGATATACAAGGATACAAAATACCCAAATCTAGACGAGCTAAAAAATGCTATTTCTGCCGAATGTGCCAGCCAACCAAGGAATGGAAGGTAAGGAGACTCCCATGATCGCTCAAGTTGGTTCAGGCAGTCGATGGATGAACACTTGAACATCTTGAACCCAAAGCTCCAACACAATTTAATAGTGACCTAAACCAATATTGAATATTGAAATAGAATATCATGGCACTGACCCGGTAAATGACACTTGGCCTTTACTTGAATGGCTAATTTATTTATAAATACATCTTAAGATTTGGAGACAGGGAATGAGTTTCAACAAATAGTAAATTTCAGAAATGACAACTTTAATTTGACAGTTATCTTTCCCTTGACTGGTGCTCATAAGTAAATACAGGGCCACAAGAAAGGAGAACATTTAAAAGAAATCATGATAACTGAAATCGGGCTAATCAAAAATATCTAAAGCTATTCTTTTCAATGTGGGTTTTAGCGCTCTTCAATAAACCTCAATAGAATTCAAATCCCAAACAATTAGGCCAACAATTTGTTCCATTAAAATTTATATGGATTTCTTGTCCTATCCGATCGATTTAACATCCGGTATATCAATCAATTATGTACACCCATTATACAATTTAGAAAAATGTTACCTATTAACATATGAACCTTGTTCCACTATGAATAACATTTTTAAATAAATCATATCTTTACATGTAATTGTAAAATCATAATACACCTAGCATTAGCCCTTTATTTCCGTCCTAATGTCTATCTCTGAAGACCTACTGAATGTTCCCTGTAATTGGCTTTAAGCTTCAAGTCCTATTTTCTCATATGTTACATTGCCCGTGAAGCTGAGTAACAAAATACATCTTTGTCCCATAACAAAATTCTTCTTGCAGCATCCCATTCATGGCAAGGTCGTCAGATGGAACGAGATGATTGGCCACGACATTGAGAAGAGGCAACCAGATGAAGAACTGGTCCAGTGGCCGCCATCTTTGGGACTGGAAAAGTAGTGGGAGGGCGTTACTATGTTCGGCAGCAAAGGTGCTGTTATAGAAAAAGTCAAGAGAGGCAGTATAGCTGATGTCGATGGACAGTTAAGACCAGGTTAATTCGTATTTTTAGTACATAATACAATTTAAGCCAACACCTCATTCTGCACTCTACATTTACTATACTAATACAAAAGTTTCAACTAAATTAGAATACGAAATACCTAAAGGATTATAAAAAGCAAATCTACCACCATTAAGGTATTTTATACCGATTCCAACATTAGCCATTTTGACAGTTCCTCTCAAACTTCACCAGGAGTTCACTGATGATACTAGCCACTTCATTTTGCAAGATATTTTTAAGGTACAGAGGTCCCATTTCGGTGCGTTTCATGGGCTCGTCATGAGTAGAAATACCAAGATGCGGCTTTCAAATTCATCATGCCACCTTTTAATGAATACTAAGAGTTTGTTACATAAAAACCTTTATCATTGTTACATGGCAAATTTTCGTGAGAATTTGTGTAGTTATTGTGAATATAGTCTGTTGAGGATCCTTGGTTAAAGTGGCGGCGAATCGAAAGGGTGAATTTTTGACACTAAAATATTATAGTAGTTTTTTTTTTTTTTTTTTTTTTTTTTTTATTAGGAAACGTGTAAATTGTTGACAGACATTTTCTCGTGGCCGTTCACCGGCAGACATCGCGTTATACAGAATTTTGACAGAAAATCATCGCATTACACGTAATGTCGGTTGGGTGGAAATGTCAGCGGTTTTATTGTTAACACCCCAAATCGTTTGCTACGCAAAAGGGAAGACAAAAAAATCGTTACTGAAATAATAAAAATATATTTATAATATAATCGTATATTATATGATTTATCTATCTCAAATGGATGAGGCGGCTAAAGGTTCTGAATAAAGCGCTAGAGCAATATCGCGCTTTGATAACTGTCTGCAGCCGATTGAGCCAAGATCTTTTATCTGCCCATTTGCATACGGCTTTTAAAAATAAATAAATATGACATTTCACCAATCAACATGCAAATATGCCATATTTTTTTTATTTAATATTTAATATGACTATATTAATAATTCTCAAAATTCCCCATGCCCTTCAAGTGTTAGTCTGTCGTCATTTTAGCGACTAGGAAAACAAGTTCAACAATTTTCCACTGCTCTACAATAAAGAAAGCTATTTCTCGCAATTATAACTCTTGTATCTTATAATATTTTTAGTGTCAAAATTTCACTCTTTCGATTGGCCGCCCCTGCTTTAAGCCCCGTGATCGCGCTAGCAGACATAACTATTTCACAATGGCTACACAAAAGGAGACTCTTCTACACAAAAGTGACAGCCATAACGACGATGCTATGGCGTAGCCAGCCTTAGACTCACAATGATGCTATACATACCTAGTTACCGAAACAGACGTTGCAAGACAAAGCGTCCCAGCGTCTACGTTCAAAGCTTATTATTGCTTATATGGTACAATATAGAGTAAGAAACGCTCTTTAAACGAGCCTTCGTTTGTTGGATTCTGGATCGATCCAGTCCAGGAAAGTTATTAATATTCAACTAAAAATGATCTAACCTTCCCACCACTCTATTTTGGTAGATAGGGAAAATGGCTCTAAATAAAAAATATTCAAAATTTACTGAAGATTATGAAGCTACTATAAATAATACCCATTATCTAGGCAAAATTGTGTAAAACCCATTTTATTATTTTGTTGTAGTTGCGCCCTCTAGCGGTTGTTCTACAACTTTAGAAAATAATTTCCAGCAATTTTCCATAGCCTCTTTTAGTTATAAATATTTTTTCCCGCAACCCCTACGGCTACTTTCTGAGATACAGCTGAGAGCTATTCTTAGTGGGACACCCCAGGCCAACCTTTGACGCGTTAGTGAACTGTTTAAACACAAACGTAGTTAGAGAACTTTTAATGAATTGACTATGAATATTTTCATGTTAAAATAAAATAGGTAAATGTGATAAATATTACCAAAATAAAACTGTTATACTTTTTTATTCCTCGTATAATAAAAGGGTTTCTTTCTATAAAGGTTATGTGAATTGCTCGTAAACGTACGTGATAGACTTTACGCCTTATTTCGCAACGACTTATGTGCATGCTAATCGGTGTTTATATTTCCATTAATGTATATGTAAATGAACAGCAAACACAAGGAACTATAAAGCAGTTTGTTCCAAACAAAGCTTATCTAAATAAACCCGAGATAATGTTTTCCGCTACAAATTGGATACTCGTGTTGTGTGACATTTCGGAAATTAAGATACCACGCCGTTTTACTTTATAATCACCTGTAAGTAGTTTGTTGTCGATAAAATACTAAGTTCATTTTATATATTTTATTCGTTTTCTTAATAGAATTAAATTAAACTTCTGCCAATAAACTTATTAATAAATAATAGTAGTTTATGATGCAAATATACAGATCATACCAAATAAAGTTTTAGTCACGTGGATTAAGATTGACTGGCACAAAGGTTGTTCACATTTACATATTTTCTTTAATCAAAAATATTTTAGAAAAACAAAAGTAAATTATTTATTTGCCATCAACAAAAACTCACCTCCTTAACAGCAATAAAGGGCCATTACTACGCTTTCCTGTTCAAAATATTCTAATAAGGCTGTGGCTTTATCTAACTTGGTTGGGAGTAAACAAGGAAGCACGGTTGGGAGCCCGCACAGAGTATCAGTAGGTATCCAGTAGGTATTCAATGTTTTTGATAGTCTTTATTCTATAACAAGAACCTAATAGTTGAAAAATAATTTTACTACTGGTAATACCAGGCAAAGTGCCCATAGGTAATTGAAAAGAATGATGTTTTATTTTTACAATCGGATTTATCCCATAGGTTATGCTTACCTATGTAAATTAGCAATGTACGACTATTAGTACAAGAGCTAACAACGTCAGGAAAACAAGTACTTTAAGACGTCTGGTTCTTGATATATCTTTTTACTATGCTCTCTGAAAAGCATGCGGCCCGTCTGGAACGTGCCGGTGAACGTTGCGTTCACTACTGCACATTGAAAGAAGATCCCATATTTTATTAGTCATTTAAATTCCAGTATTGAATATAAACCGACCGAGTTTCCATAACTCATCGCGTAGAGTTTCAGACCACGAACTGAGGAGTCAGAGTTCGAATTGTGATAAAACTTTTTTTATTTTATTTTGTTTGAAAAAAAAAAAAAAAAAAAAAAAAAAAATTTTTGAGTCACCAGAATTCATTTAATAATTTTACCATCAGAATATATACGAAAATAAATAAAAGTCTCTTTGCCCTTGGACTCCAGATTCGAACTCGAATCGTCGGTTCGTAGTCGGAAACCCTACGCACTGCGCTATAGAAACATGATCGATTCTAATAATTAGAATTTATAGGACTAAATTAAAAAATATATAGGATCTTTTTCCGAGGCGCAGTAGTGAACGCAACGGGTATCGGCAGCCAGACGGGCTGCAAGCTGTTCCAGAGAGCATAGTAAAAGATATATGAAAGAGCCAGACGCCTTAAAATACTTTATCGAAAACGTTGCTATAGCTCTTAGACTATATTATGTGCACTCACTATTACTATTAGGTATTTTAAAATAATTACTGAGATAAAACTTACCTTTAAGGGAAACGTTTTGTCTGGATCTAAACCACAAAACAAAAATTACAAAAATGCCGAATAATCGTGGAATCTGAAATAACCAATAATGACAATCATATGACAATAATCTTCTCACAAGCTAAAAGAACAGGTACATTTAGTCAACAACCAATTATCACTCCGATTATCAACAGATTTTAGTTATCTCCTAGAGCTAAGAAATAGAAAAAACCACTGACAATCTAATTAATCCTGTCAAATGTTTAACTTGCAAAGTTGAAAACCTTTTTTGACCTCCTAAACGCTATGCGCGTCTGGGATGCTCGGTGACAAAATAAACTTGTCTACGAAATGCCCATTCACAAGCCCTCCAATTTTTCTAGTTATTAATGTTCTGGTCAAAAGCGATCAACAATGATCGAAATAAATAAATAAAATGTGGCAACTTCATACTTTTATAGTAGAGCTAACACCTGAATCCCCAGTGGAATTTTAAATTTAGTCAGTACGACGCCGAATATATCCATGCTTGGCAACAATAAATTTAATAATCGCACCCTCGATTACGTAACATAAAGTTTAATTGGTATCGCTTATAATTGAAATTTACATAAGATACGTAAAGTAAGAGTTAGCAAAGTACATGTCGTAAATTTGTCATTATTTCGTTTTTAGGTGATGAAGTTATTGAATGGAATGGTAGGTTGCTACAAGGAAAATCCTATCAAGAAGTAGCGGACATTATAGCAGAAAGTAAACAAGAAGCGAATGTCGAATTAATCGTGAGCAGATTCATGAGTAGTAGAAGAATGGCTCAAGCTAGTTGGAGACAATCTGTTGCTCAGAGAGGTACGATTAGTTACCATTAAAGAAACGTCTCTCATATATGCAAAAATTATGAAAACAAATTGCATAAGTCGTCAGCAAATATTATTATGTTATAAGTGCAAATTTCTATTTCAGGTACAACTAATTATTAATAACAATTCTTGTTTATTTAACACCTTCACACACTTAAACATGAAACTATTCTTGAATTTGGATTCAATAAAACCAGAATTACAAAAGGTTTCCAATTACAAGTTTAAGAATAGTTTTTATATACGAGCACAAAACACACCGCTGAGTTTTACCTTGGCCAAAGTACACCTTCTTTACACACTCTAGATGTTTGTGGTTGTCTATATGCCTGCTGTCCTCTCAATTTTTCGTTTTTGTGACTTTTTAGATAGATGTGTAGGTCTAGATCAATATGGGAGCAACAACTGTGTGTTTCGGACTCGTATTATCTTGTTTGGCCATAGATAACTAGTTTATGTTACATAAATAGGGCGCAAACTCTTAAGTTAGATTGATATTTTAACTTGCATTACGACCACACTATAGGTTTCTTCACAGTTCTTTAAAATTTATGGATTTTGGTCAATTGAATCTATTTACCATACTTAAATTGTGTTTCTTGTCTACTAATGTACTATGTGCATGTAAAATGCACAATATAGTCATTACACTTATTTTTTTTAACTATACCTAAGTTTATTTTGCTCATTCTTGACTGTAATTTTGCTCTAGGTCAAACAAATATTTCCTGGCCCGAATCAGAAATCTATGAACGTCCTCACGTTCTTGTTACGTCACCGGGTAGTCCAGATAGACAGGAAGCAGCGCCATCTTTGCAAGGTCCAACTAGCGTAGGAGGTCGCGTTCAAGTAAGGGTTAAATTCGTTGTTTGGTTGAAAAATAACTTGGATATAGAATAAAAGAAATATAAAATTAAAAACATAAGCTACAATATAAAAGAAATACCGAAATAATCGAAAAAAAACGGCGTCAAAGTCGGCTGGGGAGTGACGGTCGATGATAATTTTGGCGAAGTCACGCCCTAGACGTCATTTACGTGACTCGAACTCTTCTTTATTTTATACTGGCTTTTACTACCAGTTGGTTATTAAAAAGTTGTAGATTAATTTTATATTGTGTAAAAATGATTTTTATGAAATAGATTTGTTTGTTCTATTCTTTTTTAATTTCTCTATAACTAGTGTTAAGTTTTATGTTAGTTTTCAATAAAAGGCGTCTAGAGATTGGCGTCGCCAAAACTATCATCCATTTTTCGGTTATACGGTATAAGTCTAGGATAAAATAACTGAAATTAAACTTGAAGGAAAAATACTAAAATTTATAAACTTGAATCTATATAGAAAATATTGTAGGATTGATAAAACTAATAAATTTTTTGTTATTACTTGTAGGTGAGGCTTGGGTTCGATCCTACTACGTTACAACTTCTAGTAACAATTATGTGCGCCACTGGCTTGACACCCAGAGCCGGTCAGCATCCAAGAAATCCGTATTGCAAGCTTTTCCTTCTACCAGATCGATCCGAAAAAAGCAAACGACGTACCAGAACATTAGCAAGTAAGTCAATATTTATATAAATAAATAAATAACGTCTTTATTTTTTACTCGGCGAAATTCAGCAGAGCTGTTAACTTAACTAAGGATATATTGTGTGGAACCGAGCCTTGGATTGTGTGGATTTGCAGTGACTGCTTGATGTGCTCTATGCTTTTTGTTCCAACAAGGTCTGTATATGAGGTTGATTTTCGTTCAACCAGTCTGGTTGTTTCTTTTTGTTGGACTCTCCCAGTACCGTTTCGCTAGTTTTATGAATCGCATCCTTTAATTGTGTCCCGCCTTGTTCAGCTTCCAAGGCTGAGATTGAAGTTATCGGTGGAAGTGATTCTTTGATTGAAGTGATTCTCTAGACCCCGTACGTTCAGTCTGGTCATGTTGTTTCGCTTTTTACAGTGTGTATGTTTGGGTTTTAACTGGATTCTCATTTCTGAAATTAAAAGTCGGTGGTCAGTGCCGCATTCGGCATCTATTCTGGCTTTTGTGAGTCTGACATCTTTTAGATGCATCCTTCGAACGATTACGTGGTCCAATTGATGCCAGTGAGCTGATCTGGGATGTTTCCAGGTACCTTTAAACTTGTCTTTCAACATGAACCACATATTGGTGATGCATAGATTATACTCTGTGCATGTTGTTAATAAGCGTTCACCATTGCTATTTACGTTTCGCATTCCATGTTTTCCCAATACGTCAGGCCATATTTCCTGTTCTCTACCGACCGACACGAGCATTAAAGTCACCTAACAAAATGATTCGTTCGTGCTTTGGAATTCGTTGAAGAGCATTTTGTAGAGCTTGGTAAAATTTATTCTTATCCTCAATTTTTTAGCGTCTACGGTGGGAGCGTAGGCACTAATGATGTTGACGTAAGATTTGTCTTATATGGGGTATCTTAGGGTCATAAGACGTTCGGAGACACCAATAGGTACTTCTGTTAATTTGGTGGCGATTTCGTTTTTGATTGCAATGCCTACGCCATGAATTCTCCTGTGTGTTGCAGGATGACCCTTTCAAAAGAAGGAGTAATGCTCCTCAGTGAGACTACCCTCATCCGCAAAGCGGGTTTCGCTAAGAGCGGCAACATCTATATTTAGCCGGTGGAGTTCCTGTGAGACCAGTGCTGTTCTTCTCTCTGGTCGATTTGAATTTATCTTGTCCAGTAGAGTGCGGACGTTCCACGCCAAACGTGATGTTTTTTGTTTCTCCGATGATACGCTCGAGTAGGCACCCCCTCCGGGAGATCCGATTGAGGGGGTATTTTACCTCCGGATGATGATTTTGTCCCACTCGAATGTTCCATCATTGATGTGTGTTAGCTGCGTGAAAAGGTTAAACTGCGACGGTTACGCTGCCGCACAGTTTTGGCTGCAACTGTAGCACGGGATGACTATGGCATAGTGAGGACCGCGACGATAGTTCCCTTGTGCTACGTTCTCGGCCGGCTAGGAGTAATTTACTACTCCTCTTCTCAGAAATATGGTAGGTCTGAGGATTGTATAAGGTTATACCGCCTATACTCGGACGTCAGAGCCTCGTTTGTGTAGACAGGGTGCACCGCGTGAAGGTGAGGTAGACTTCACTACCCCTTGCACCCCAACAGTTTCAATAACTGCACTAGCAAAAAACTAAAATAATTAAATTTTATGACAAAACCACGATTTCAAAATTATTTTAATGCAATCAACATGATGGCGGCGTCTAATACATTCTGATGATTTCTGATTTCTACCGTTGAAGCTCTGCGGTCGGAATTTGTTGAAATCAACTGAAATGCACCAAGCCTATAGAGTTGATGGGGTATTTTAATTCAGTATTCAGTCTCAGCGCTTTGACTTCAAAATATTTGATTTTTTTCGATTGTAACTTCTAAGAAATTTCTTCGAATGGCTTAGACCTTTGGAGGATTCCTATTCAAGGTTACAGATGGAGTCTTCCAGGTTCTTGAGTTGCACTTTAAATTGGTTTCCACATGGACGCGAGTACTTACGTAGAAAAATGAAGCGTGTGTTAAGAAACTAAGTCGCATAAAAGTCAACCATAAAAAACGCGGTATTTCGCAAAAAGGTCTTTACGAAAAAACGGACGTGTGCGACGACCTTTAGGATACCGGCCTCATCGGCATAGATAAAACGTTCGGAAAATAAATCACACGCGCTACCACTGTCCGTCCCGTCCCATCGTCCTTTCGCTAGCCTCGCTTTTTTCGATCTTGGCCCGTGCGCCAAATTATGTTTTTGGTCCTGTCTCCTTTCGCCCGGTGCGCCTACATAAATTAGGGGAATAGGAAATGGAATAAGAGACGAACATCAAACGTATACCGAGGTAAAAAATGGATTTGAAAATGAAAACGTTTATAATCTGCTGAAGAAATTATTATGTTTTCATGGAGTCTTGTATGGTATTACTCAATTATCAATGATCTTCGGATTGTTACGGGTTTTCTAACACCACACTGTTTCCATAATGACCACTTCAGTAGATTGAAGCTAAGAGACAACGGCGAATGCAGATTCTGTGGAATAAATTTTGTTTTCACTTATAATATCACAAGAGCTTAAATTATTTTCGGAAATTTTTTTGAGGGCACGAATATTTTGAAAATTAATATATAATAATTTTCCTAAAATATTCGTGCCCGAAAGAAAATTTCCAGGAATAATTTAAGCTTGCGTGGTATTCGGTAAGAAAATTTCACACCTAAATTTGAAAAAATATTATTCCAACATGACATTTAAAATAATTTCAATTTGTTAAGTTGGTAAGGTATTGATGTTTTTGACATATTATGTGTTTTGTCATTTTTGTTTGCGATTCTGTCATTAAGCTATTACTAGTTTTAAAACGTCTGTACGTAGAGTAAGAAGTGTATAGCGAAATGTCGCGATTTGGAAAAGTAAACCAACAAGTCATTAAAGAAGAAATTGAAAATATAAAACCAGATAACACCCGAAAATCAAAATCAAGTGTATGGAAACAGTTTGTTGAATTTTGTGATGAAAAGTCGTATAATATTCATGAGTGTATGAGTGTAGTACAGCTGGCTACTATACTGGAGGACTACGCATTTAATATGAAAAAGAAAAATTTTGAAGATTATAAGGAAAGTGTGGTCAAAGTGATGTGGAACTCTACTGCTAAGCAGTTGCAAGAAATTTATTACGAAAAATATAAAATAAAATTTAATCCGTTTTCTGATGTGGAATTTGTGACCGCCAGAGCTGCACGCGATGCTAAGCGCAAAATACTACAGAGAGATTCAGCAAAAAGAAAAGTGAGTGCTTCAGCCTTAACCAGTGACGAATACAAAAAAATTATTGAAATGTGGGATGAAAATACTCCAGATGGGTTGCAGCGTAAATTTTTTCACATAGTTTCACATGAGCTGGCATGGAGAGGAGGGGAAGGACATTCTGCTTGTATCCAATACTTCAAAGAAGAAACTGATAATTTCGGAAACCCAAAAGGTCGGATAGAATATAATCCAATTTTCTCTAAAACCACACAAGGTGGTTCTAAAAAACTGTCGGATAGTAAATGGTTGATTAGAAATTTCGAAAATCCACAAATGTGTCCGGTTCGCTTGTTTAGAAAGTTGATGGAAAAAAGGGGAAATCTTATTCAAACCGACAGACTATTCTTAACACCAAACCCATACTGGAATCAACCCAATTCGAAAGGATGGTACAAGAATAGCCCAGTTGGTAAGAACATTGTATCTTCATGGTTTAAATCAGCAGCTTCAGATATAGGAATTGACACTAAAAAAGTTAAAATAACCAATCATTCTGCAAGAGCAACAGCTGTTTCGAATTTGGCCAAGAAAGGAGTTGGTGAACAACAGCTCATTAAAATTACTGGACATAGTAATAGTCAGTCGATCAAACCTTACTTACAGTTGGACGCTGAACATCATCAACAGATGATTGAATCCATGAGGAGCATTTCATCAAGTACTAGCCAGTTCAATCATGATCAGAGCACAATGCAAAATAAAACAGAAAATACCCAGATTCAAACCACCAATTCAAGCCAGCCTACAAACATTTACAATAATTGTGTTTTTAATATTAATAAAACCTATAATTACTAAATGTGTTTCGTTATTATTTTGCTATATTAGTCGATATCATTAAAGATTTGGCATTGAAGATAATTCAACATGAAATAAATTCTAAAAAAATCATATAGATATATCCATCATATTTCGTTAAATAGAAAAATACCAGCTTTAGTTAAATAAAGGCGGCAGAACTATATTTTTTAGAACATGGCAATTTCGAAGAAATTCATATGTAGGTATATCTAACATATTTCCTTAAATAAAAAATATTACCAACCTTAGTTACATCAAATGCTAAAACTCAAATGGGTAATATTTCAATATATAGACATTGTAGTTATTCACATTATGATTGTAGATCTTATGTTTACCTTTTCAACTGTCAAAAAATTTCCACTAAAGTTTCGTGGCGCCTCGAAAAAATTTCCGGAAATTTTTTCAGTTGCCATGGTAACTAGTCAACATTAAAGCATGTTATTGGTTGAAAAGTAGAGGTGTGAAATTTTCAGTAAAACTTTGGATATATTTCTTTATTAAACACCATTATGTATAAACAACGCTGAAATTCTATCTTTTTCTATTCTAAAATTCGATTTAATTTTTTTTAATGTTATGTATTTTAATTTGATTTGAAGTTTTTAATGTTATGTTTTGCATTCAATAGAAATAATTTGTTTACATGTTGAGATATAATAAAAGAGACTTATTAAGACAAATATAAATATTATTTTTTACAAAGAAAAATTGGTGTAATTGGAATGAAAAGCGGAAAATTAATATATCTAAACTTTTAAGCTTCATTCAGAACCTCGCGATTAGTGAAATAAATTAGTGGTTTCAATTACACTTTATAGTTTTTAGTTTACGATCATTCACAATATATAACACAAATGTATAAAAAACACAATTAAAATTATTAAAATATCTTAGCAACAGCTTG